CCATTGGTAGATGACACACAGCTTCAGCAGTGACGGGCAGGTGATGTCATAGCCGTATGTAACAGTTAGCAGGAGCTGGGACGAGCGACGGGAGATCACTCCGTCATGTGGATTCGATCTTATGACTGCTGGTCTTCTGACCTGGCAGCACAGAGGCTTCTGCAGTTTAACCCGCAGTGCCACCATGTCCCTAAATTCAGTAACATGCATCAAATGCAATTTGATTTAAATGTTATTTTGTGAACAAGAAATTTTATGCAATATGTTGTTAGTTCTTGTGTTTTACTTTTTTTGTATTTCAGTATTTAAAGTTTTGTGAATTGCCCAGCAAATAGTTACTGATTGATTTGAATAAATATAAAGAAATAATGCTAATTTAATCAATATTTTATCTACTTTTCTTTTTATTGCCTATATCATTAAGCCTATTTCCCCTATTCCACATTTTTAATATTTAAAAAATATATTATCAAGATTCAAGAGGAAACAAAGAGAAAAAGTACAGCAGTACAGTAGTAGAGGTACAGGAAGTGACATGTAGGGATACGGTTGTTCCATAAATTCTGCATATCTGGTTTGAAATTAAGTGTAACAGTATAGTAAGTGAACTGATTTGTAAATCCAAACCTATAGTTTTCTTGTAGTTATAATCATGATCCAATATTGTTTTAGAAACAGGTAGCATTACTACGTTGAAATATGGGCAAATGTATCCCTTCTATTTGTGCTACACTAACAGCTCGTTTTCAGTATTTTGATAGGAGTATAATACTATCTCTTCATATTTTAAATATTACTTTTATATTTTGTGAGGTGGAAGTTAATACATTCATGTTGTGGATGCACAACATGGTTTACTCTTCTGTAAAACCTATAAGCTGCTATAGCTTTCCTGCTTATCAGATAATATGTTTAATGAAACATCTGATGGTGATAACAAATGTTTGGGAGTGAGCATAAGGACAAATAATGGAAAAAGCCATCTTAGCCAGGTATAAAGAAGCTGTTTTAATAAAGCAGGCTGAAGAATATACAGCTTTTCAGATCTTGGATTAAGACCAGGTCTTGGAAATAGCACACTACAAATAACTCTCATCCCTGTATTTTGGGATAAACATAATATAGTCTGTGGGGTGCAGGTGTTTTTGGAGCTGCCAAGGCCACTCCAGAGTCCCAGGAGTTTAAAAAACAAACAAAGCTATTTCCAGTACCAGAGGCCTTACAGATTTTCACTCTTCTGGAATTTAGGAACTCCCCCAACCACCTGAAATCTTCAAAAACAAAACCCCCTATTGGGGTCCTTCCTATTTCCTTACATCAAGTTCCAACCATTTCCTGGGGTGCTATGTGGCAAGGTCTAAGGCAAAAATTTGGCCCCTGAGCCCACTGAGATTATCCATTCCTGCTCTAATCTTGCAATGTGAGGATGTAATGTGACATCATCAAATGTTTGCTGTAAAAACAATGCTGTGTTGGAGGCATTTTTAGGTGATGGGTGGATTATATGCCATTTAATAATTTATTTATTTTAAAGAGTTTTTAAAATAATAAATCAGTTATATGTTATATAATGGATAGCAATCAAAACTTGGGCAACAAGTAATGCTAATTATTCACTTTTTCAAAGTAGCAAGAAGTAAGTTGTCATTATTATTATTATTAAAAAAGAAACATTTCAAGCTATGATTGAAGCACACATCATATAGACTTGTAGGTTCCAACCTAGAGTAACTCAGGAATTCTTGGACTACAACTCCCAGAAACCCTGGCCAGCATAGCTCGTGATGAAGGCTTCTTGGAATTGCAGTCAGAGAACCCCTGGGTTACCCAAGCCTGGGAACCACTGATCTTGACTTTTGGTCATACATAGCCAATTAAAAGGTTCAATATAACAATTTTTATTTCTTACTGTGTTGCTTAAGAAGTTTTTGTTTCCTGACTTGCAGTAGTGGGTCAAGTGACTTGTGTCCAACTGAATGTTCTCCTGTGAGCTTTTCTTTGATATTATGAATATATTCATATGAATATATGAAATAAAGTGGAGATACTAGAAATAATATGAGATTTATGATGCATGATAAGATAGATCTATTTGGACATTCTGGCCAAGATCTAGCTAGAGAAAAACCTCAGTCATGCAGAGGCTTTTGTCCTGGTGCAAGCTCCTCTTTGTATGACAGGGAACTCAACTAGCCAATTTTGGAAGAATGTAATGTTGGTCATGCAGAAGAGTGTCTATCTAAGGAAGGAAGCCCATAATTATCCTACCTTGAACAATAGCTAACGTATATAAGCGTCTGGCCTTTATGTTTCTAGATGTTCTAGGTGTTTGTGCCCAAGTCCTACATTTTAAGATATTTTATGAAGCTTTCAAAGTATTGTTGGCTCTCTCATTCATTTGTGATAAAGAGTATGACAGACAGTTGAGTATTTTAAAGTGTTTGATTTAAATATGTTCTCCCTCCCTTTCCATTGCCAAAACGCACCAAGGAACTTGTAAAGGTTTGGCTTCTTTTTCCATTTTGCCACCCATATCAGTGTTTCACAAGTGTTTTCTATCAAATTGTGTGTGTATGAACTGTGAACTCCATAGTGTTTTGATGTATTTTTATGTGATTTAATTATCTGTCACTGGGATTAAAATATTGTTATTGTTTTAGGAACATCCCAGACCAGAGTATGAAACCAAACTACTACAGAAGAAATCCAAAACTGAAAAAAGCAAAATAATCAGTCAAGATAAGGTAAGGAGCCTGGATCTACCTCCTTTTTGCATTCTATCTTCCAGCAGGCATTTTGTGTATTATTGGGGATGTGTATTTTAATTGTTTTGACTGCAATTTGTTCACCTAAGGCTTTCATTGCGTAATAATTTTTAATCGGTAAGTCAGTTCTGTGTGATAAGGGTAATAATAATAATTTATTGTCATTGTAAGTATATGCACAGTATACCCTTACAACGAAATTCACGGACACCCAGAGAGCAGACACATGCACACACATAAAATTCCCCAAACACTTCCCATCCACTAAAAGTCCCCCATTAAAAATACAAACATCTACACCGTAGGCCAAGTAACACAGTCCAACTAATTATTCACTACTGGTGGTCTTTAAGCTCATTATTAATTGCAATTATAGCTCTGGGATAAAAACTATTTAGAAAACGTGTGGTCCGAGTCTTAATTGTTCTATATCTTCTGCCAGATGGTAACACTTCAAAAAAGTTATAAGCAGGATGGGAAGAGTCTCTCAGGATGCTGTGTGACTTCCTCAGACAGCGGGATGTGAAGATGTCATCCAGGGTTGGTAGCTGGAGCCCGATGATATTCTGGGCAATTTTAATGGTTCTCTGTAGAGCTTTTTTGTCCGCTACAGAGCTACTCCCAAACCATGCCAGAATGCCATAGGTTAGGCCACTCTCAATGGTGCTACGATAGTATGACAGAAGTAAGTGTTTAAAAGCATCTATTTGGGAAAGGGCTATGTGTTTAAATATACGTGTTCAGTCTTGATGTGCACTTCTCATTGTAAGGTAGTGGTTATAGTGCTGGGACAGTAACATGGAAGATATCAGCTCCAGGTGAATTGTGGAATTCATTGGATGAGTTTGGGCCAATCACAGTGGCTCAGTGTAACCTTGTCCAGCCAGCTTAAATACGGAGACAGACACGGGTGATGCATTAATTAGGGCCTCTTTATTAAATGTTAATAACTTCCATCCTATTGCAGAGGGGCCTACTATATTGCGGTTTCATGGGGGCTGTGTAGGGGAACCTTCCTATTCCTACCTTTTTTTCCCATTGAACAAGTCCAAAGGCCCGGGTCCATGCTGTTGAGTCAACATCCCATTCCCTGCCGGCCAACCAGGTGACTTCTCTGGGCTGCCAGCCACCCCACACTTGGGAAATTTCAGTCATCATGGTCAGCCCCCCCCCCTTGTGCACTCCCCATCTTGGCAACTGGATCTCTGGTGACAAGATGTTGGGTGCAATATCGCCCTTGAACAATCCTTGGGAACTCACTGTTACTCATCTCCCGTCTGCCAATGAGAACTGTTTAAATGTGTAAGTGCCTCTGTTTTTCCTATATTTGCCCCTCTAGACACTGTGGGATAGGCAAAAATTACCCACATACCTTTTTTCCAATATGCCAATCAGGTGATATGGGTTGAAAATTCCTATCTGGCCCCATAGAGACCAGCTACTCTCACATTGGACACCATATGGGAGCCATTAGGCAGGCAGGTTGCTGGACCTTGCAAGAGGCCTAATGGAGGACAGGCTGCCTTTTATGTCAGCCCACCCCACCCTCCATCAGTTGAGCTCCTGGCAGCCAATGGGCACCCTAGGAGACAGGCTCCCCAATTGTGGGGGGGGGTAGGCAAAGACTCTCCACCCACAGAGGTATTAGGCATGTGCACAGAGAGGAATATTTTGCACAGGGTTGTTGTGTGAATAGAGAGGAGAAAGATATGAAGTACTTTAACCTCCTTGAGAAAAGAGGGATATACATTTTCTAACAACGGCAATAGTAATAGATAACTATGAGTAGTAGAATTTCTTTATTACATTGCAATTCATCTGATCCTTTTGTATTGAAACTGATCCATAATGTTAGGCTTTTCCGTACTATACATATTAATCAACATTTATTTCAGACTGGGCACAGATAATGCTGTACTGGGATTTGTTCCATTTATTTTTATAGGGGGATATAGGCTTCATGGATCAATAATCTTATCACAGTACTCTTGTCACAGCAACTGTACAGTGCCTATCCACACTGAGAGTTTGTTCAACTTCAGGCGCACCCATGATACCTGCATTGCATCCCAGTGTTCACTTGATGAAAGGCTGAAACTGTTGTCAACGGAATCAAAGTGGGGCAAAAAAAAATCTGCTTTCTGTAGTTTTTTTTACATCCTGTCAGATGATAGTTTGCTTTAGTTCTTCTTTGCTGTTATCTGGTGCACAATCTGCTCATGTGGACCTCAGTAAGGTGTTGCTATATGCTTATCCATGCACTTTGTAGGAGTGTGACATTAGGTGAATTTCCTTCTGAGCATGTTTCTGCAGTTCACTCTCCACACCTACATGTCTTACTGCTGCCTGTGTTTGGTTTTCTTGGGATGTCAGCTGTTCCTGTGTTCTGCTTTTAAAATAGTGAGTATATGAAGTAAGCAGGAAAGAGAAGGGAAGATATACTCAGTTTCTGTCTTCTGATTTTTAATATTTTTTTTAAAATATTACTACATTTGTTCCATAGTACAACCATTAAAACTAAAGCTAAACTAAAATTACAAAGCATTGCTTCAGAAACATGAATGTCTGAGAACGGTGGACAGGTAAAACACGGAAGGAAGGTAAGAGAAAGTGAAGTAGGCAGGGAGAGGTTGGAAATGTTAGGTAAAAGGGGACAATCTGTGTTGAGCATGAAACCTTAGGGAGCAATTCCAGATGTATGTGTATATGTAACACTGGAAGAACTCAGTGTTTTTCAGTACCTCCAGCAACAAATAACCACCCCATGTCTCAACACCAGTACCAGGATGATCTATTCAAATTTGTAACAACAGCAATAACAACAAAACAGAATGACCCAGAGCAACACAAAAATGCTCGAGATCAATATCACAATATAGATGAGCCTAGAGGCACTGTTACCAGTACCTGGATTACTTCACAATTTCAGAGAGAGGGGTAACAGTAATTAAGAAGTAGTAGGTGGAGCCAGGACCAGGGAATTGCAATTTGTCCCCATTTTCCTTTCTAACTACAGTGACAACATTACACGTTCCCTAGCTTCCTCTGCTTCAGCTGAAATTCAGGGGGAGATGTCATGAGACAGCTCATTCTCTGGGTGCTTTTCCTACATCAGAAAGTACAGAAAGAGACATCCAGCTTGACACTGCAATGAGACAGCATCAGGAGGATGGAGCTCCATCCCCTAGGCTGAATTCTTGACAAAAACCTGGCCGTCATCTGGCCATCCACGTCACCCCTGTCTGCAGGATGATTGGGCTACCATGCTACCCCTCACTGAGTTCACTTACAACAATGCCATACATTTGTCCACAAAACAGACCCCATTTACAGCCATCTATGGATACCACCCTCGTTTTTTCCCAGCTGTCCTGCTGTCCACCATAGTTCCTGCTGCTGACGCTCATGTATGCAAGTTGCAGGCTCTCCAAGAAACTCTGAGAGCAGCTTCAGCAAGCTAAGGATGCCTATGAGACAGCGGCTGACAAAAAACAGCAGGAAGGGCCACCTCTGACACCAGGGGACCAGTTCTGGCTCTCCACCCATTATCTACGCCAAACAACACCGAGAGTAAAACTGCTATGGCTATCTTGCAGTGTTGGCAAAAAGCCCAGAATATGACTTGAATACTCAGACTTGGAACTCTGTTTGGACTTTCCTTTTTTTTCTGAGAAGTGACTAAAACATAGACAATTAACTTTGGAAAGTCTAATACAAACATTCGGTGAACGGGGCTGTCAACTTACATCAGAAACTGGATTCAAAATTACCCCTAAAGGTGATCAATTTACTAAAGTGGACTTATTGAAGCAATTATTGATGGTACTGGACTGACTGTTCTAAGCTATTGGACATCTTTCACTTGAAATACAAGTACTTGGCATCTTGGGACATAATACTACAACAAGGGAAATTTTGGGATGAAACAAAATCTACCCTTCAAGCAATCTTAGAAATAGTGAGATCCCATAACGAAGAGATGAAATCATTCAAGGAGCAACTAAAGAAGGACTATATTCAACAGAATGAACAAGGAAATGTGAGGGGATGATGTATGCCAGCCAAAGGAAGGGCTGGAGGAAATGAGAGGAGAAAATTTAGGAGATTTAATTCTAACCCTAGAGCCGAGGAGAATTTTAGCTAAGGGAAGATAAGGTGAGAAAATCAGCAGAATTAATTAAAATAGCCTTGAAGATCTATTGGAGATAGATTAAGTGCATAAAATGTTTTCAGATGATATAAGGGAGGGCAAAATGTTTAGAGATATAGAAACAAGAATTGGGAAAAGACAAATAAGAGGAGTTTCTTAGAAAGATGAAAAAGGGTAAAATATTAAGGTGGCCCTCAACATTGAAAGCATGTATATACTTAACTTCTGGAATTGTAAAGGAGCATATCTTATATATTAAAAAAGAGAATTAAAATGAAATAAGGGATTACTTATCAGGGTAAAGGCATAACACAGTGGGTGTTAAGGTAAATTGAAGCTGGATATAAGGATGGGGCAAAACAAATTGTACTTAATGAATATACGTTAGATATGATATTGATATAGACATGGTAGAAAATGTGGAGATAGAAACTGCTAAACAATTATATAAAGAAAATCTGTATAAAATGTTTTAGATAAAATCTATTGTGTGTTAGGAACCTACTTAGTTATTATTGGTATAAAATACAAAGTTCGTTGGTTAAATCACCTCAAAATTATATAGATTTGGAACCAAAATTACTTTTATTAGTATGTTATTAGAGGATTTTGAGAACATTGAATACTATGAGAGCAATACTACAATAGTAGCCAATATTGTATACTAAAATACACACATGGACGGTTTAAATGTTTAAAAAATGTATAAATTTTGAAGAGACAACTAAGAAGACACCAAGATGCAAAAAACAAATACTGTATTTTTCCGTGTATAAAACAACACTTTTTCCTAAAATAATAAGAGGAAAAATTGAGGGTCGTTTTATAC